ATATTTTTATATTTTTGAAATTTTATAATTTTACTTTTATAATAATTTTTTGTTTTATGAGATGCCTTGTAACAATTAATCAATAATTAATTTTAATAGATTTTGTTTTATAAGAATTGGAGTTCGGATTTAATGAAAATGTAGTAGAGTTACTTATTCTTAACAAATCTTTGGACGCTCAAAATGATTTGAATAGTTTGATGTTCAAAGTATTTGTAACATTGAAAATAAATATTACCTTGATGATTTAAATAATAAAATGTATTTAAGTTATCAATTAGATCTATTTAAAATTATTATTTTTTATAATCGAGTTTTAAATAATATATCTATACTTTTTGAGCTATATCAAGTATTAAAGAAGATAAGAATTTTAAAAATTTACTTCCTCATTGACAAATTTTTAATGCTTGTCTTGACTCATCCAATTTTCACTGTAATATCAAAATATGTATTTTTTACTATGAAACTAATTAAGAACAAAACTCATAATAAGATATTGAATGATTTTTTTCAAAATTTATCGATCATTCTTATCGAAAAATATATCATTTGAGACTTTAACATTGATTTAGTGAGAGATCTTTTTAACTCTATAAACGACAATTGAGCTCAATTAAAAATACTCAATCTTAACATATAATAATTGTTAAAAAATATTTTATTTTGTACTTAACAAGTACTTGAAATTATTTATATAATTTTCACATAAATTTTTTCTATTGAAGTCATTTTATATTTTTATCTAATATTGAATTTTTAATATATAATTATTTTATAAATATTATTTTTACCTCAAATACGAAATTTTAACTCCACCATTGATTATCTCATTCTTCCAGAACTTTGTAGCTGTACCCAACACTGAAGAAAAGCTAGTGAATATTTTTATCATCATCCATTGGCTAAGCCTAAACGTTTATTGTTCATTCAAAAGCTGCTGCATTTTTATTCGAATTAAGTCTTAATACGACTGGTATCTGCATTGATGGTACTGCTGGATGTGCAGATGAAGGTGCATTTATTATTATTCTAGTTGCCAGAAAATACCAAGACTAAACATGGTTGCTGCAACGAGTGAAACACTTTTCCAGGTGAATATATGCAGAATACTAGAGCAACTTGACAAAAGAAAACTTAATCTATACCAGAGAATTTCAAAAGGACAATGTTCCATTCCAACACATCAGTATCTCTAAAACATCCACCAGGCAATCAGGTAACATATTCCATCCAAGCCACACCAAATAGAAACCAGATGAAAAGGGAAAAAGAAGCTATGTATGTGGAAACGAAACAGGGTAAAATATTGGGTTATTTATTTATTTTTATATCACAAGGGCAGGCCGACCAAAGAACAGGTACCATGTCGAAAAAGAAGGGGGGCCAAATCCAAAACACTCGCAACTAAAGTATGAATGCATCATTACGAGTGTTGATCTTGCTCACAATGATATGGGATTAACCCCTTGCATGCTAAAGCAAATTCATTATTAGAATCAAAGCATCATTGGATCGGTGCAGCCGTGCAAGTAGCTACCTCTCTTTCTCAAGTGGGAAAGCATTGGGTGCCAGTTGCGCCCCATGCATGTCAAAAGCAAATTCATTAGTGATTTCAGAAGTAGGAAAACCTATCATTGGACGCAGAACGGATGCAGGGCTACACTTGATCTGGTGTCTGCTTGGAGCACGGGAATGGGCTTCGTACTAGTAGGGCAAGCATTGTCAGTTTGGTGTCTTTGAGAATGCCTTGGGCTCAGTCCAGTTGAAAAGTTAGTGACAAACCCGAATCTGGATCTTCCTCCCATTTGGGTCTCTAAACTTGCACAAGCCCAGATAAACTAAACCTTGCTCCTCCAACAGTCCAACCTCTTCTTCATTCCTTTCGTTTTTCAGTCAAATGGTTTCACTTAGGAAAGCTTGCTCCCTTTCTTTCAAATATGTATTTCATGTTAATACTATGTAATTAATGCATGAAAAAGAGAAGCAACCAAAAAGAAAAAAATAGGTTATCTTTATATTGAACAAAACACTTTTGAAGGTCAAAAGTAGATGGAAGCATTTTTAAATGCTATATTCAATTAGTTTCATTGCATGAAGACAATAACAGTCAACATATTGTCATTAGGAATTGATATATGCCTGATACACGTGAATTTTGACCTGGGCAAATTCTAGCGAATTTGCACGAGGGGAGAGGAAAAAAGAAGAAAGAAATAAAGAAAAAAAAGGGTAAATAAAAAAAAAAAACAAAAGCAGTCTATCAACTGAACTTAGGGAGCTGACCCAATCTGTCTAAAACCAACGAATTTTGGCATTAAAGACCCAGTGCTTTCATTTTCGTATTTGGGCCGGCTGCCCACTAATTGTTTTCTTCACCTCGAAGTTAACTTGGACCTTGCGCAGAAGATAATGACATTTCAGACATATGAATAAAAAAAACACCAATTACTTAATTATCTGAACGAATTAAGTAATAATAAAAAGAAATTATTTCATATCGATCAGTATGGAATGTTTGGTATTTTATTTAATTTTAAAATTTTAAAAAAAATCTCATAATTTAATTAAATAATTAATTATAAAATCGGAATAAACGGTTGAAAGACTATAAATCTTATTTATTTTATCATATAATCAAGAGTCCAGATAAATAGACTGACTCGCAATTTGCCAAATTGTTCCATCAAGGATTATTAAACATTTGATGAATAATTGATTTGTACTTGCATTATCTTTAATTACCAAAGTCAGCAGCAGCACCGCCCTAAGAGGAGTTCTGGGGCCAGAAAATCTCGTGAGTAGCATATTTCCTTGTCTAAGTTTACTGCTTTGGCTGCCAACTTGTAAGCTAAAATATAGTATTATTTCATCATAAGCACAACTTTTTTCCAACTCACTTTTCTAAATTTTTCGTTCCTGTTTTCGCTAAGGCTGATGAGAATCTCAACGGCCTATATTTTGGAAGACGGATTTGCCCTATGAACATTGAACATGTAATGTGGAATCAAAGGGTAGTTTAGACAAATTTTATACTAGTCGTACAAATGAATATTAAAGAGCTTAAGTAGGAAGCTCAGAGTCCAAAATCAGTACGTATGAAATTAATTAAAACTTAATAAAAATGAACGGACAGAGCTACATCCCTAGATTTTGGTACTGTCCTAAGTGTGTCGTGTCGAAACATCATCGATGGAGCAAAAGACAGCTGCAGCTAGTGCAGGCTTTTTGTGAAAAATAGGTAACATTTGGGAAGTGTGTGCCATCGTGGCCTGTTTTTCTCTAGGACTAGTAAAACCCTTTTATTATATATTTAAAAAAAAAAAACAATTCAAATACTTGTTTTTCAGTCACCTGATTTTAACAGCGCCCAAATGGTTTATAATTTTTTATTTTCAAATTAATTGGTAGATTAAAGGTTTGTGACATTTGAGAAAGTCATTTGTTAGTATTATATATGGTTCAAGATCAGATAAAATTTTTACATGCACGTACAAGTATTATAAGATTAAAAATGTTAACCTATTATCATTAGCAGCATTTAAAATTTTTTTATTTATTTGACGTGAGGTTTAAATATTTTATTTATTATTTTGAAATGTTTGATGTGATATATATATATATATATATATATATATTAGATACCAATGAGAAAATCTAAAGAAGAGAAGGTAAGAAATTTGAGAAAAAATTTTAAAAAATAGGTGATAAAATCAACAAGCAATTGGAACATAAATAGTGGTAGTATAGTTTTTAGCACAAAATTGTTGTCTTACTCCTTGTCTACTTCAAACAAAATATCAATAGTTGGGCACACCATTGCAAATTCTCAAACAATGGGTGAAAAGCACAGGTTTATCATGTATGTATGTATATCATTCTTTATTAAATCATAAAAAAAAAAAACCTTTTTCTTTGATGTGGACAGTAATCTTTTATAAGGTATCATTCACATGAAACTATGTATTACATAATCAATTAGACTTTCCAATCAATTTTATCTTATAAATGGCAACAATTTCAACTAGAAATTCAAAAATTTACTATTTTTTCCCAAGAGTTTCAATTTCAGTTTTTGTTTTTCCTTGTTCTCTTTTTGGGGTGAGCCATCATTTATCTACCTTGAATTTGTGGCACTTACATGTTGCTACCTTTACAGTATCAGTTTGATGGATTTACCTACTGCTACCCACCACGATGTAAACTGAGATAGTTGGTTCCCAGCTGGATCTGGCTAGGTGTGAACCCATCTCTCTCTCTGTCTCTCCCCCACCTCACATGTCCCATCAACTTTTTTCAACAAACTTTGTTCTCTCAGAGGAGATTCCAAACCTCTTTTATTCTCTCCCCTTAACTTTATTTTTGCTAATTTTCTCAATATAAGATTTCCTTTTTTTTCTTTTTTGCATTTTCCCTATTTTTTAAATCAATTTTTCATCAACTTGTTGGTCTTTTTTTCTTCTATAAATTAGCCTTCATTTCACTCAGGTAACTCTTCTCCTTTTCCTTCCTTTCCTTATCAGTCCTTTAGCATATCTCTTCTGGATTCCTCTTTGATAGATATTTTTTTTTCTCAGATATGTGTCTAATGTTCCAGCTTTGAACTCAAGCTGTTCTTCTGTTCTTTCCTCTGATCCAAAACCAAGTTCTGGGTTTTTCTTGTAGAACTCAAAGTTAAGTTTGTTGGGGTTTCAAAATCCGTTACCCATCATCTGATTTTTCTTCTGGAGATTCTGGGCTGGTGTTTTTGAGGCTGTTTCAAGCAGCATCAAGCCAAAGTTTTTGTTTTTATTTCCAAGGAGAGGTTTTTTTAAGAGCAATATCTTCATGCTCAATCTTTTGTTCTTGATGTTTGAGATTCATGTCTCCAATTCTCAGTGAAATCTTTCTTTCTGGGTTTATGATAAATTCTACATTCATTCGCAGGACCCATCTTGTTCAATCCTTCTCAGTTGTTTTTCTCTACTGGTTGTACTACGTTTCATGATTTTGGCTTTAATCTCTGCTACTTAGTCTATAATATATAAATAAAATTGCTACTGGTACTACTGCTACTATCTATCTGCATTGTTTTTCTTTATTAGGGGTGTTTTTATTGTCGTTTGGGTCCTGCTATTATCATCTCTCTCTTGATTTACTCTCTCTGCGTTGAAAAAAATTAAAAAATCTGCCCAAGTTATCTGCAATTTCCATGGCTTCCTCTAGTGGCACATCTTCGGGATCATCAACGTTGCTACAAAACTCAGGGTCTGAGGAGGACCTCCAGGCATTGATGGATGAAAGGAAAAGGAAGAGAATGATATCAAACAGAGAGTCAGCAAGGAGGTCCAGGATGAGGAAGCAGAAGCATTTGGATGATCTCATGGCTCAGGTAACTCAGCTGCGGAAAGAGAATCATCAGATCATCACAAGGATAAACATCACGACCCAGCATTACCTGAATGTTGAGGCTGAGAACTCAGTGCTTAAAGCTCAAGCCAATGAGCTTAGCCACAGATTGCAGTCTTTGAATGAGATCAACAGTTTCTTGAATGCAAACAATGGCAGTAATTTTGGTGTTGAAGATGCAACAAGCCTTGCTTTCGCTGAGCCTGCTGACAGCTTCCTTAACCCATTCAATTTGGCCTACTTGAATCAGCCTATCATGGCCTCTGCAGATAACATGTTTCAGTATTAATCCCATGAGCTTATTGGAGTTCAGTCAAAAGGGAGGAAAGATTAAGAGAGCTGAGGAGTCCTTAAATTTTTAGTCTTTTTTGTTTTGGTTCAGAGTCTTTTTTAAGATAATGTTTTATCAGTAGGGAGTGGTGAGAAATAAGGTATGTGTAGGACAGTTGGACTGTGCTTATTGGGTTGTTGAATCCTTGGTATGTAAATGGGATTGAATCATAAGTGTGTGATGCAAGCCCAATGAATGTACATGGGGCTTTGGTATAAAATAAAATATATATGTGAAGTAAGCTTTTGTTTTGGGTAGTTTCAACTTCTCCTGTGAAAGCTCTTGGAGTTGACATCAATTCTTTTGTTTGACTGATCCCCTGCAAATATCAAAGGGCTTAAAAATGGTGGCTTCCTGCATAATAATGTTTGACAAAGACCACACTTTTGTTTTGCTTCTTTTCTCTTGTACTGATAACAGTTTGAGGGTATTTTACAGCCAAAAAACTGCAGCAGTCCTTGTTTTACTTGAATGGAGTTGACAACTTTGAACCGGAAAAGACTTCGCTACTTGTCGATGGTGACCCGTTTGTTTTTTTCTGATTAATTGAACCGTAAATACTCTTCATTTGCTTTAAGAATGTTGTAATCTCAACTGCTCTAATTATTTCCAAGGAGATAATTTCCATTTGAGTTCATCCTCCAATTGCTTTACCCTTACCATACAACAATTGTAGTCAGAATTCCCATCTGTCAAAATGTTCAAGAGGAAAAGTACTTTAATTAGCATTACTTGCTAGGTTGTTCCCAAGCTCAAATGACCTCAACCTCACTTGTTATCCTAAGAGTGGCAATTGAGAATCAGAGAAAAGACCATGAACTGTAGCACTGACAGCTCCTGAAAGGAGCAAATTGCATGAAGGTCTAAATAACAAGAACCATGTTTTCCCCCTTGTGGGAGCGAGATCGAGATGCAGTTGCCGGGTGTAACCCTTTGTAACAAGGAGAACAATCAAACATGTACACCCTGTTATGTCTGTCTCATGTCCTTGAAGAAAGCTACTTCTGGTCGCAACCAAATTAACTTGGAATAATTTCAGCTCCTGGACCTACTATTTCTGCACATGGTTCTCAGCAGCAACATGCAAAGTAAACCAAATAACAGGTTGAGCTGACTGATTCTTCATTTCACCCCCTGTGTTTTTTAATATCAAATTTTAGAGTAATTACAAATCAGAAAGGCTAGTTAGAAAACATACTACAGTAATCATTTATTGCCATCGTGAGATCAGAATTGTTCAATGCGTGTGGAAAGAGAAACAAAGGAAAGAAACAAGAGACATCCCATCGGATTGGAACACAAAAAAAGAAGGATAAAAGCTGATTAAATACCAAAAATTACACTGGTAAAGCTACAAGAGTGATGGAAAGATGGATTTAAAGGAAGAAGCAAAAAACATAAAAAAGTAATGGGATGAAAAAGTTAAGAAAAAGAGAAATGATTTCTTAAGAGGTTTGTAGTGGGAGTGCTCTTGCATTTTCCTTGAAAACTAGTCGCACGTGCAGGGGGACAATGTCTTCAGCGCCAGAACTTAAGCACATGATAACTGTAAAATGAAGTTACAATTGAGTCTAATATATTAATTCTCCATGGTTTCCCTGTTCTAATCTCAAAATAAACAATGGGGTTCCGTTTGGATTTCCCAGAAAATCCAGCTTCAATCTGTCTCGTGTCTCATTAAGCTTGATGAATTCGGTCATATTTGTGGAGAATTATTTGATTGTAATAAAAATTTCTATCCGTAATTTTATTTTCTTTATTTAAAAAAAAAACAGGGTTTTAGTTGTATTACAGCTTTTCTCTGTCTGTATCACAATGCTTGATGGGGCAACTTGCTAAGTAGAAAAAAAGAAGATGGAGCAAAAGTTGGGGACTGTTAGAGACTTATATTAAAAAAAAACAGAAAGGAGAGGAGAATAGTGTTTCTGTTTTGAAACTGTGGACAAAACATAGTGGAACTCTTTTCTTTCATTTCCTATAGATGCCTGTATGTCCTTATTAACTCGTATAAACAGACAGCCACTAAGCACCCCAACAGGTCGAAAAAGGAAATTTGAGCTAAGCACTTTATATAAAATGGAGTAAAAGCCAAAAGGAGGGGAACTTGGGCAAATGGGCTCCAATTAACCTGATATTGTTTTTATAGAGAGAAGGCAAAAAAAAAAAAAAACATTGAGGTTCTAATTTCCTTAAGATTCCCATAACTTTTGGCACTTCAATTCCATCTCACAAGTATAACTTGAAAACCAACAAAACAAAATAATTGAACATCTCTCTTTTTCAAAGGTCACTTCACCATTACATATTTGTCCTTTTAATTCCATAAAAACATTGCAATCAAGGGACAAAGGTTGTCCTGATTTCAGTCACAGTCTCCTGTCTTCAATCATGGTTCCGTAAGCACTTGTGAAACTAAAGCAGTTGTTTGCCCTAATCTCTTCATCAAGGGGTAGCTAGCTAGTGTCCGTACCATGTTAGGCAGTCAATAATCAAAACAAAACCACAAGAGAAATATATTTTTAGCAGCCCCTTGAAAGTGACATTGTCACGTTTGTGTCAAGTTCTGTCTCATGACAAATCACAGTGGAGTGGGCTTGGCGTAGGACTTAGGAGCTACTCCTAACACTTGTCAAAATTCAATAAGAAATTAAATAGAAACATTTAACAATAATTATGTCAAAGTTTAGTTTAAGGAGTATTAATAATCATAATAATCACATGCTTTGGAACTTTTTCTAATGTCAATTTATCATAATACCTATTACTTGATAATAAAAATATCAATTAAATAGTACATGTATTTAAAAAAAAGTAATAATCCATATGATTTAGTATTTGTTTGATTTGATTTTTTTTAATTTATTTATTTTTTAAAAGTAAAAATTGAATTAAATAAAAATTTAAAAAACTCTTAAAAAATAATTTTTTTAAAAAACAAAATCTAAAAAAAAAATTCCTTCAAAAACTTTTTTAACTTTTCTTTTAAAAACACGTCAACTTAATTAAGAGTTATTCCGAATATTAGCAGTGGTGGTTTTTTTTAATGGTTTTAAGTGTCCCTAAGCCTAGGCCCTTGGAGTATTGACGGTTCTTTTATTTTAGCTATTTCATTTCTTGTATTCATAAAATCTAAGGTTTTATATTAGTCTTGGTACTTACCAATAAAAATTAAATAAGTTTAAAAAAAAATGCACGTCAACTTTTTGAAAAAAAATTTTTTGTTTAAAAAATGTCCTAATCTATTGAAAATAATCTTAACATTATTTTCTCAAAAAATACATCCTCTTTTAATCAATTATTTGTGAAATTCATTTTTTATTATTTATTATTAATTATAAATTTTATGTTATATAAAAATATTTTTTATATTTTTAAAAATTTATTTTAAATAAAAAATAAAGTTAACCTTTTTTTATTGTGAACTAAAAAAATTCATGATTAATATATAAGTATTTATTAAATACTCTTTATGATAATTTTAATCAAAATTAGATCTTATATAAGTTATTTTTTTAAATAATTTATTTATTTAAATAATTTTAACTTAATTTTAAAAATTATTATTTTTCATATTATAATAGCTTTTAAGTTTTTTAAAAAAACTAAGCTAAACAGGATTTTTGTTGAATTTCATTCCGTGAATGGGTAACACTCATTTTTTCAATTGGAGAAAAAAAAATGAAAAAGTACTTTATTGTTACAATTTTACCTTCTTAAATAGATTAACTAAGAAGAGAACATAAAATAAATGTTCTATCGAGTACTTATATATATAAACAATGTTTTGGGGACCAATCTCCCTCCTGTCTGCAGAGAGCAAAGACTTAATTAATAGATACTACAAAATTATAGGGTATTATCAACGGAATAATTCTTGCAGGTGAAATTTCATCAATAAAATTCTAATGATTTGATTCAAAGTATAAAAGAAAAAAGTAAAGACGGAATACCAACAAAATGTGATTAGTTATAAATTGATTTGTAATTAGTTAAGTAAAGATCATGTTTTCAATAATGAGACATTCTACGTAATTTAATATTTTCCTGTGAAATTACATTTTACGTGGCCTAAGAGAAAACCAACCATTGGGTGGTTGGAGAAACTTTTCTCGTACAAAAGCAAAAGAACGTAGAAATTTAGTATGCAGAATCTTGTTTGGATGGATGGATGATCCAGTGTTAGTACGTACAATTTGGAGAAGAGAAAGAAAATTCCCACCCCATATTTGGTTTCCATGACTGACAAAACCTACCCAAAACAAAAAGTTCAACATCCCACTATATTTTTTCTTTTCTTTTCTTTTCAAAATACCCAACAAATATTTAGTTAACTTTGCCAAAAGGAAATCAAAGAAAAAGAAAAAGAGAGCTTTACACAGAAGAAAAGAAACCCTAATTTTTATATTTTCTTTTTCACATTTACTTTCTCATGTATAACCACTGAACCAAACACATTAAAACATTATCAACTTTCTTCCTTATTGTGTTCTTTCATATTAGGGAAAGCAGCCGGAAATTGGGTGAAAGAAAGGTTAATTAAGAGACTACCCTAAATTAATCTATCATTCTTGCTCCAATGGAACCTCAACAAGTGATTTTATTATGGATGTAAACATCATTATTTCATAGTTATTCCACTAAATGCTTGACAAGCAAAGAAAAAGTATAAGAAAGTCGGTGAGTGTAGGCTGGGTGGTTCCCATTTCTAGTCTTAAAACCTAAAAAGAAAAAGAGGAAATTAAATAAAGAAAAAAAAAGGTGTTATTGTACTTGCATATTAGAACAGACCCGTAGCTTTAAAGAGGGAACAATGATGATGAAATCTCTTGCCTTGCCCTTTTCTTTTTGGATTTCGTTGCATGCTTAAAAAAAATAATAATAATAAAGAAGAATTCAAGGGAAAGGGGTGGCATTAAGTTAGATGCTGAGAGCATGTGGCCAGCCATGTTTTTGTATGGCTCACATGAGCAGAGGAAAAAGTGTCTGGGTGATCTTGGTTTTGTTTAGTGGGTGAGATTTAAGTATTAAATTGAAAAAATTAATGTGGATCAAAGCTTTGTTAGGGAGTTGATATTTGGTAGGTAGTGAGCTAAGACTTTGTCGACCCTTTTAAAATTTTTTACTATAATTGATTGCATTAAGTTAACGACAAAAGAAGGGGCTTTGATTGAGAATGATGTCTTATTAGTTGAGCATGAACGGTGGGTGTTAATGACATCCTAATTAAATTATCAAGCATATCATTAAGAAAGATAAG